TTCTCACAGGTAACTATTTCCACCCTTGCTGTGGGGTATGGCTCATTTCCAGGTCCAGACCCTGGGCCAGCGGGTAGAGTTTTATAGGTCTCCTTCTAGGATTGAGGAATTTCTAACCTTTGCTCCACAGGAAAGCAAAACTCCTTCCCCTAAGGCATAGATCCAATCTGGGTCCCTCGGGGAGCTAAGTAGCTGAGTGTGCTCTCTCTGATTCTGGACTCTGAAAATTTCCTATCTTTAAATGTAAATATGTATTTCTAATTAACCCCTCCTTTTTTTTTTTTTTTTTTTTCGGTACGCGGGCCTCTCACTGTTGTGGCCTCTCCTGCTGCGGAGCACAGGCTCCGGACACGCAGGCCCAGCAGCCATGGCTCACAGGCCCAGCCGCTCCGCGGCACGTGGGATCTTCCCGGACCGGGGCACGAACCCGCGTCCCCTGCATCGGCAGGCGGACTCCCAACCACTGCGCCACCAGGGAAGCCCAACCCCCCCCCCCTTTTTTTTTTAAAGCAAATGCACACATTTTGAATGATGGGATGAAGGAGGAGAATGTCCAGCTCGCTCAGTATTGTATCTTGACTGGAAGCCCCCCAATTTTCTATAATTAACATGTGGTATTTTTATAATTAAGAAAAAACCATCATGTAAAGTCCAATCATGCAGTAAATTTAAAAACTGTGAGTTTGGGGAAAGGTAGTTTAATAATGAGTCAGAGATTGGTTGACTGGAATGACAAGCATAGGGGCCAGAGAAAGAATGAGAGGTCCAGGGCATCAAATGGTAAGCTACACCCCAAGTTCAACTCTAAAAAGGTTCTATATATTTCATACCTATAATTCTGCACCTATGTTCCCAACCCATGCTTCTTCTCTGAGTTTTGGGTGTAGGTTTACAAAATGCCTGTAATATTTCTACCAGATAACTTCAAGCTCATCATGAAAAAAAAAAAAAAAGATTTAAGACTCCCTCTTCTCTCCTCACCACTTCCAAAATTGTTCTTCCTCCTAAACTCCCTAATTTGGTGCCTCTACCAGCCCATTGATCACATCCCAAGTTTGAAAGTCAACCCACCCTTTTCTGTGCTCCTCATTCTGAATATGACTCTGAGTTTGGGTGCCAAGTCCTGGCAATACATCGCCTACATGTTTCTTGACCCCCTTTCCTCTCTTTCATCCTGACCACTACAGAGCTGTGGTTGTAGTAGGTGACCCCCATCGTTTGTCACCTGGATGGGAGCTACAACCTCTTCACTGGTCTCCCTCTCTCTCCTCTTCCTTGTCTTCAGTTCATCCTCCAACCTGCAACCAGAATGGGCTTATTAGCCTATGAAATTACCTACACTTATAAAAACTGACAACCCCATTCCCTGGTGCCTTTCTCACCTTCTGAGATGGCCAACACTCTGTGGAGTGTGTTTCTCTCTAAATAAATCCACTTCTTACCTAAAAAAAAAAAAAAGAAAAAAAAAAAAGAAAATGCTAACCTAGTCCTGGTACTTCCCTGCTCCTGTCAGAGAACTGACCACCAAAGATCAGTGTTTCCTTCTCACAGTACTGAGATCACAGTACTGAGCTGCCCACAAAGCCAGGGGCTACATATTCCAGGACTCCGTTTAAATTGAGCCCTATGATAAGTTCTTGACAATGGAGCATGAGAGAAGTGATGTGTGTGTGTCCTTCTGGGCTGAAGTGGGTAAATGCTGGGAAATCTTCCCAGATAGCATGCTTCTCATCTACAGCAACCCGAGGAGCTCCTTGTGAACAAGGTTTCTGGAGTCTCAGGTCCAGAATCGCTCTGGGAGGAAAGTCACCCAACCAGGAACACCCTCATTGACCTGGACCAGAAATAAGAAAGACAGTTTTGTTGTGTTAATCCACTGAAAATTCAGTGATTATTTGGTTCATCAGCTAGTGTAACCTTGACTAATATTTTGATTAACTCATAACAGTTCCCTTAAAATAACTTCAAAACTGTTTAGAGTCGTGCCCAAGGCTTAGAATCATGACCTGGCCTCTTCGTTCTTGTATCACAGAATCTCTGCTCCCTACTCCTTACCCCTACTCATCCAGGTCCTTCTGCCTGGAATGCCCTTTCTTTCTTATGCTTGTGAACTCTTCTTTTTCCCAAGACTTAGCTCAGACGTTTTCTCTCCTGGGAAGCTTTTCCTTACTATTCCTTCCCTGCAACTTCTTTCCACTTTTTCTTACCTTGCATCAAACTTCATAAGATGCCTGGCAGCTCATACACACACATTCGTCACACTTAAACCTTTGTGTGTGTGTCCTTGTAACTGACATATAACCTCCGTGAAGGAAGAGACATATGTTTCTCTCAAATATCCCAGCATCGAGCTCAGTGCCAGGCTGGCTGGTGCTCAAGACCTATTTGCTGAGTCAAATTGAGTATGAGGTCACGTGGATGAAGGTTCGGGGATGAAGAGGGAACATGTGAAAGCTGGCTGAGGGAGGGGGCCAAGGAGGATGGTCTGCTCCTCCCTTTGGGGTTTGGCAGGGTCAGAGCTATAAACTGTAAGTGGCCTCTGAGGAAAGCATTGGCAAGTGGTACCGGCTTGTGCTCCGCATTCAGCTGAAGGATGGGGATCCAGGCGGACTAGCTGGAGTTAAGCAGGGTGGGAGTGAAAAGCCATAGGGAGGGTAGGTTAAGCCCTGTAGCTTGGCTGTTTACCTGTAAATCTCTCCTAGTAAAACACATTTAAACTCTAAGTTGCTGCTGACTTAGCAGGATGCAAATGCCTAGAGGAGAGCATGAACCCCTGCTGTGCTTTCACACTCACCCTCTAAGAGGAGAAGCTAACCCTAGGGAGGCGGTGCTTGTGGTAGAACTGATGAGCAGTGAGTGAGCCGTCTCCTTCCACATGAAGGCATCCTTGCTCATGTCATCGGAAGGCTCGCACAGGGTCTAATCTCCATTTTTCATTGTTGGCAAATGTAAGGAAATCCCAGATACACAACCAAAGCACCGTGGTCAGTGAGTGACAGACTCCAGCCTACAGCTCAATGGCTGGGCCCCCCACTGGTGGTCCCAGCAGGTCACAGAACCTAGAGTCAGCCAGTGGTCAGAGAAGCAGACACACTCATTTAACCCTTGCAAAAAATGACATTTTCTAGATTCAGTTCCTAAATACTCAGAACACATCCCCAAGTTTGTCTACAGTGCTGTCAAACTATTTAAGCAACTGACACTAGACCATTTTGGTTCAATGGACAGTTTTTTCCTCCACTGAATAATCAGCAATAACCATTTGTTTTGGCTTCGCGTAGTTAGGGGACTTTCAGTAGTCACAGAAAATGCCACTCGAATTGGCCTAAATAATACACTTATAGCTCACATGACTGGAAGCCTCACAATGGGGCATGGAATTTAGGGCTAGTAAATCCCGAAGTTCAACATCGTCATCAAGAGCACAAGTTCTGAGGGTCCCTTTCCTTCCTTGTCCATAATTCTGGCTTCTGCCTCGGGCTGGCTCCCCTCACAATGGTAGGATCTAGGGGTAGAAGAAAACAAGAGCCTATCCCTCAGTCATGAAATAAAATTCCTCCCTTCCAGCCGATGGTCATGTGTGGGCTCTGGACCAACAGCTGTTGCTAGGAGAATGCCACACAGTGGTTGGTTTCAGGGCAGGGTCCTCAAACTATCTGATGGGATTATCATGTTTGGCTTTGATTCATCAGTACTCATCTCATTCCAGGAGCTGAAGTTACTTCAGCTCCTGAAGTTACTTCAGGATGTCGGTGGAAAGAGTGGAAAACACGTTGGAGAATTGAACATGATGTCCACTATACTGTCTAAAATCATTCAGTCAAAGGGGTGGGAGGGGGAAAAGAGAGACAAAGGAAAACCAAGTTTGACTGAGTAATATCTGTGGCACCAGGAACCACAGACTCAGTGATGCAATAGACAATATCTAGTCTGATGTTAATTGACAAGGAGACAACACCTTTTGTTTGATTCTTGGTTGAACACCAACCAGAATGAGCAAAATGAGTAGGTTAATTTCAGCTGTTTTCTTTTCTTCTTCTTCTTCCTTTCCCCCCACCCCTCCCCTCTACCTTCCTCCTTTTCTTCCCCTCCCCTTCCTCCACCTCTTTTCCCTTCTCTCCCTCCTCCTTCTTTCTGGCTCTTTCTTTGCTTACTTCTTAAAGAGATCATGACTCCTCCCTTCCCGCTTTGACTCCAAAGACCACCATTTTGGCCCTGAAAGAGCAAAAAATTAAAATAAGAAAAAAAGCAAACTGTTTCTCAGGCAGGTCACGTGTTTGGAACAACTCGCTACCATGAGCCTCTCATCCCACTTTGAAAAATACATTCCTGCTAGGACCTAAGAGCTTAGGAAAGTGAGCGAGTTAAGTCCAAACACATACCAGAATAAATTAAATAACAGAGTTAACGAATTCAACTGTGGCATGGTTTTGCAGAAGTGGTAAATTGCGTTTTAAGGTAGAAGTGTTTGGTTCAAGGTTATTTGTTTGGAAGTAATCTTGGCAAGTGGACTGGAGTGAAGGAAGGCTTTTAAAGGCAGGGGAAAGGATGAATTTGGCACTTTTGGAGTAGGTAGTACAGGAGGGCTATTAGCAAATGGATCTGTTTTTAACCTGGAATGTTATACAGGGTGTGCTGCATAATTTACTTTACAATGATGTTCAGATAAGGGTTATTTAAATTACTCTATGGGGAACTTCCCTGGTGGCGTAGTGGTGAAGAATCCACCTGCCAATGCAGGAGACACAGGTTCGATCCCTGGACCGGGAAGATACCACATGCCGCGGAGCAACTAAGCCCATGCGCCACAACTACTGAGCCTGTGCTCTAGAGCCCGTGCTCCACAACAAGAGAAGCCACCGCAATGAGAAGCCCGCGCACTGCAATGAAGAGTAGCCCCTGCTCGCCGCAACTAGAGAAAGCCCGTGCACAGCAACAAAGACCCAATGCAGCCATAAATAAATAAATAAATGTTAAAATAAATAAATAAATTACTCTATGGGAAACTCCAATGAAATATTTTGATAAGAGACAGAGTGAGATGAATAGATAACTACAAGTGAAATGCCCAAAAAGGTAAATTTCTATGTCATACAGAGTGAAGAAAGGAAAATGGTTGGTTGTGGCTTTCGATTTTAGATTTTAGTTTGATTTATCTGCAAGTCTTCTGCAGACTCGGGCAAGTTTGGTGTTCTCGAAAGACTGCAGTTTTCTCCTGGGGGTGATATTTGCAATGCATCCAGGCAAGATTCCATAAGCATTCCTGAGAGTGATCTTGGTTGATGTCCCTGGCACCTGCAGGGTGTGATGTGGCATCCTCCTTGCCCAGCCCAGAGTTTCCTGCTGGGACTCTTGCAAATGGTGGAGGTCATTTGAAGGCATGTCTAGGGAACACAAAGTCTGTAGTCACCTTGACCATGTGGCCAGCCCTTAGAACCTTCCCTGTTTCCCCCCCTTCCAATAGATACATATGGTGGGAACATAAACTCTAGGGACAATCCCACCAACTTATTGAGGAGTTGAAGATACAGGGTACTCAATGAGTGATGTAGTTTTCTCTCCCACCGTGTCACCCTCTCTCTCCCGTGTCCTAATCCAGGCTTAGACACGAGAGTTTCTCTTTCTATGACTAGTAGAAAGCAGAATTCCCTCTACTCTTGCATGAACTGAGCTGGGTGCTTCATTAAATGTTCACATTACAGGATATGTAATATCCTTTTTCCTTTTTCAATTTTCCCTCTTATTTATTTCCTTATTTACCACATCAATAATTCATAATTACCTTCTTGTTATAAGAAATCCTTGACTAAAGAGATTTCAAAACTTCCTTCCCATTTCCTCTCACTGTTATCAGTTTGATGAGGAACTTTCCTTACCCTTTCCTATTCATTGACATCCACATAAAAGTATTGGTAGAGTGGGAGTTTGGGATTAGCAGATGCAAACTATTACATATAGGATGGGTAAACAACAAGGTCCTACTATATAGCACAGGGAACTATATTCAATATCCTGTGATAAACCATAATGGAAAAGAATATGAAAAAGAATATATATATGTATAACTGAGTCACTTTTCTGTACAGCAGAAATTAAACACAACATTGAAAATCAACTATACTTCAATAGAATTTTTAAAAGCTATAGGTAGAAATACATGGTGTTACTTCAAGATTAATTATCTATTTTTTTATTTTTAAAGGTTATGTTCCATTTATAGTTATTGTAAAATATTGGCTATATTCCCCGTGTTGTACAATACATCCTTGTAGCTTATTTTATGCTAATCGTTTGTACCTCTTAATCCCCTTTCCCTATATTACACCTCCCTCCCTCCCCCTCCCCACTGGTAACTAGTTTGTTCTCCATATCTGTGAGGCTGTCTCTCTTTTGTTATATTCGCTAGCTGGTTGTACTTCATGATTATTTGTATATAACATGACTCTTTATAAATTATTCTGCTATGCGCTTGGAGATCCTTTTTCATGCAAAAATGAATACCTTATTCTCTGTAAATGCAGCAAAACATTTAATAGGGTATGAAATATTCACCTTCTGATAAATATTTATAGTTTGTGGTAATGTGACCTCTGATGTGCTTCTTGCCTAGCTGATGTGTAACAGTGACTCAGTCTCTTGTGGGGAACTTTCCTGAACTCTTTGGTGGTGCCTGCTGGGTTGCTCTGTCTTGAATTCCTTTAACCTGGGTGGACACATACCTGCTCCAAGTGGTTTCCTGGGACCGCTTCTCAGATCCTGGCATCCAGAACACTTCTTCTGCTGATGTCCTTCTGCACACACAGCCATGTAAACAGCCTCCGGGACACCCCATATGGCCACACATTGCTGTTTCTGCCTCTGAAGCAGTCGGTCAACCGTCTTCTTGTCTCCTAGACATGCAGGTGAAGTTAGGCTGAATTCCACAGCCCGCTTTAACTTTCTTCAGGGTGGGAAGTGGATGAGGAGACTCCAAGGCTGTGGAACAGTTTCTCAGTCATCATCTTGAAAATCTGCAAATGGTGTTGGGTTACTGAAGGTAGTCCAGCCGGTGTAACAAATACATCCAAATACATCCAAGACTCAACACAACAGATATCTGATCCTTGCTACCTAAGAGTCCTGAATTGTTGAGTTGTTCCAGGTCAGAGGAGGGGGCTTGTGTTGTCTGAGAGGGATGCTCTGCTCTGTGTGGTCATTCAGGGACCAGGATGATACCATCTTCAACATGTGGTTTCCATGGTCACCTTGGGGGTAGCCCTCCTGTTCATCTGGAAGAAAAAAGAAAAGAGATTTTTATAAGCAAGGTCGGGAGGAGGCACACACACATCACTGCTTCCCATGTGACATTTCCCAGCACTCAGCCACAGGGCCACACCTGACTGCTGGGAAATATAGTCTAGCTGTGTGGTTATGAAGGACAGAGCGTGGATTTGGGTGAAGAGCTGTCTCTGCCGTCGGTAATTTCACAATTCATATTGGAAGTTCATTTTTTTAAAAAATGGAGTGACTACAAAACTATAATTTTGACACATTATACTTGCATTTCTCACATTAGACTTGCATTGATTTATTTCAAAAGGAATCAAATAGGCAACTACGGTTTTCCTTGAAATCCCAATTGTTCCAAAATCCTGCTTCACATACTGTAGCAGTTCTTTGCCTCTTTCCTCAAAATTATCCCGGTTCTCAAAAGTCTTAGCCTGACCTCCTGTGGTCCTTCTTTCTTTCCTCCCTGTGGCCAAAACAGCTCCTAATGTAGTGGAAAAACCTTCCTCAGAGGATGGTTGTTGAGAATAAATTGAGTAGCAAGGCTAGAATCCTCTTCAGTGGTATGAGAGAGAAAAAAGGTTAAAATATGTCAGTCATTAATAATTTTACAATATCACATTTGAATCATACTGCCTTCTTTTTCTATAAAATTATTTATTTATTTACCTATATATTATCTACCTATCCATCTATGGATCATCTATCTTTTGTCTATCCAGACTCTACCAGATATGGTGTTTTATAATACTTCAAGGAATATACTTTAAGCCTACTTCCCTGGCATTAAACATGATTCTAAAATAGCATTTAAAATGGTTGCATTGTCTTAAATTGTATGACTATATTATCATTATCTCACTTTTCGTAGCCAGTTTTAGTCCTACTAACAATTTGGGGTTAAGCATGCCTGTATATTCACCCATACATTTGTTCATTTTTTTAAAATAGATCTTTATTGGAGTATAATTGCTTCACAATACTGTGTTAGTTTCTGTTGCACAACAAAGCAAATCAGCCATATGCATACACACGTCCCCATATCCCCTCCCTCGTGAGCCTCCCTCCCATCTTCCTTATCCCACCCCTCTAGGTCACCCCAAAGCACCAAACCGATCTCCCTGTGCTATGCTGCTGCTTCCCACCAGCCAACTATTTTACATTCGGTAGTGTATGTATATCGATGCTACTCTCATTTTGCCCCAGCTTCCCCCTCCCACCCCATGTCCTCAAGTCCAGTCTCTATGTCTACCTCTTTATTCCTGCCCTGCAACTAGGTTCATCAGTACCTTTTTTTTTAGATTCCATATATATGCGTTAGCATATGGTATTTGTTTTTCTCTTTCTGACTTACTTCATTCTGTATGACAGACTCTAGGTCCATCCACCTCACTACAAATAATTCAATTTTGTTCTTTTTATGGCTGAGTAATATTCCATTGTATATATGTGCCACATCTTCTTTATCCATTCATCTGTCGATGGACACTTAGGTTGCTTCCATGTCTTGGCTATTGTAAATAGAGCTGCAGTGGATATTGTGGTACATGTGTCTGTTTGAATTATGGTTTTCTCAGGTTATATGCCCAGTAGTGGGATTGCTGGGTCATATGGTAGTTCTATTTTTTGTTTTTTAAGGAAACTCCATACTGTTTTCCATAGTGGTTGTATCAATTTACATTCCCACCAACAGTGCAGGAAGGTTCCCTTTTCACCACACCCTTTCCAGCATTTATTGTTTCTAGACTTTTTTGATAATGGCCATTCTGATCGGCATGAGGAGGAATCAGGCTCCCTGACTTCATACTATATCACAAAGCTACAGTAATCAAGACAGTATGGTACTGGCACAAAAACAGAAATATGGATCAATGGTACAGGATAAAATGCCCAGAGATAAACCCATGCACATACGGGCACCTAATTTACAACAAAGGAGGCAAGAACGTACAATGGAGAAAAGACAGCCTCTTCAATAAGTGGTGCTGGGAAAACTGGACAGATACATGTAAAAGAATGAAATTAGAACACTATCTAACACCAAAACACAAAAATAAACTCCAAGTAGATTAAAGACTTAAATGTAAGACCAGACACTATAAAACTCTTAGAGGAAGAGATAGGAAAAACACTCTTTGACATAAACCACAGCAAGATCTTTTTGACTCACCTCCTAGAGTAACAGAAATAAAAGCAAAGATAAACGAATGGGACTTAATTAAACTTAAAAGCTTTTTCACAGCAAAGGAAACCATAAACAAGACAAAAAGACAACCCTCAGAATGGGAGAAAATATTTGCAAATGAAACAACAGACAAAGGATTAATCTCCAAAATATACAAACAGCTCATGGAGCTCAATACCAAAAAAACAAGCAATCCAGTTAAAAAATGGGCAGAAGACCTAAACAAACATTTCGCCAAGGAAGACCTACAGATGGCCAAGAGGCACATGAAAAGATGTTCAACATCACTAATTATTAGAGAAATGCAAATCAAAACTATAATGATGTTCATTGTTTTCTTATTTAAGAAATATTTACTATTATGTTCCCAGCATTTTTCTGGGAACAATGTGTGTGTGAGTGTGTGTGTGTGCATCTTCTTATTATTTCTTTAGGATTAAATTCTAGTAGAATTGTTTGTTGGAACATTTGAAAAATTTAAAGGTTTTAATTACACACTTATGAATGTGTAACCATCTTAATTAACTTGCTAAGAAGTGAATATGAAACCTGTTACACTCTTGTCAACACTAGGTATTCTCTTTCTTTTTAATCATTCCCAATTTGATAGGCTAAAATGATTATCATTGTGGTTTTGATATGAATTTTTGATTACTGAGGTTGAGTATTTTATCTTTTGTTAATAGGCTACATGTGTGTATGTGTGTGTCTGTGAGAAATGTCTCTTCTTATCTTTTGCTCATTTTTTCACTGGAGAAATTTATCTCAAATTTATTTTTAAAATCTCTTTGTGATTTGAGAACATTAGGCTTTTGTCAGGCATGTGTATTGCAGTGATTTTCTCCAATGTTATTTGCCTTGTAATCTTATTTATGGTAATTTATGACATGCATAATTTTTTTTTAATTTATGTAGTAAGATAACCTCTTCATTCACTCCAGGAAGACCCATCTCCAGGTCAAGATTATATAAGAAATTATCCATGTTTTCTTCTTTTATTTCTATTTTCTCAGTTTTACTTTTACATGTTTAAGCCAATTGGATTTTATTATTTTTTTATATAAATTTATTTATTTATTTTTGGCTGCATTGCTGCATGTGGGCTTTCTCTAGTTGGCAGCGAGTGGGGGCTAGTCTTCATTGCGGTGCGTGGGCTTCTCATTGCGGTGGCTTCTCTTGTCGTGGAGCACGGGTTCTAGGTACACGAGCTTCAGTACTCGTGGCACGTGGGCTCAGTAGTTGTGGCTCACGGGCTCTAGAGTGCAGGCTCAGTAGTTGCTCTGTGGCATGTGGGATTTTCCTGGTCCAGGGATCAAACCCGTGTCCCCTGCATTGGCAGGCAGATTCTCAACCACTGCACCACCAGGGAGGTCCCTGGATTTTATTTTGAATGTGGGTATGGGGTAGAGATTTATCTTTATTATTTCCTAAATGCTTAGTCAGTTTTCCTCACATCATTTTATTAAATAATCCATTGTTTCCCCATGGATTTATAATGATGGATTTTTGATCTTAAATTCCAATATATACTTGGGTTCATTTTCGGTCCTTTTGTTCTGTTATTAATGTTTGTCTGTTTTATTACTAGTACCACTCTATTTTATGTGCTCTGCAAATTTCTCCTCCCTACTCTATAAAAAACCTCTCATCTGTTTTCCTAAATTTAGTCTTCCAAATACACATTAGAATTATTTTCCAAATTTTGAAATAAACCATTGAGATTTTATTGAGGTCATCTATTACTTAGTGAGAACTGGACATTGTTAAAACAGTGTGATTTCCTTTTCGGTCCACATCGTGTTTCTATATTCCCATTTAAAAATGTATCTCAATAATGCCATGGCATTAAAAAAATTAATTTTTAGGACTTCATATTTTTAAATTCTCACCAGATATTTTAAGCTATATGCAACTATATTTTCTACTTAGTCATTGTTGATATGCAGTAAAATCATTACATTTTGTATACTGCCTTTTACCATTGTCCATCTTACTGAATTCTCCTCTAGTTTCCATGAATTTTAGTGTATTCTCTTAGATTTTCTGGGTGCTTACCGTTCACAAATAAGATTAGATTTCTTATAACTCTTTTTTTGTTTATTGCATTGACTCGTGCTTTAGAATTCTGTCAAGTGATGCTCCTATAACCATATTTCACCACAAAAGAATATTCTGACTGGTGATTTATGATGGGTATTCCTTTAGTAAGAAATGGACATTAAATTTGATCATATTTCTTAGGGGCACTTTCCGTGATGAACATTTTGGCTTCTTGGACCTATAGACATTATGAACTTTTATGGAGTTTCTAACAAAGGAGATCTATTGCACTCCTGAAGTCAATTTTACTTGGAGAAGGATCGCCTTTTAAAATCTTTGGGAATGGGTTAAACTTCTCTACAAAATATGAAAATACTGCAACAAATCATTGTCCATTTTCTTCACAAGTATTTCTTGAGCTTCAAGAGTATATGATCTATTTCCTGCCACCTTGGTGTTTAGAGATCTGGCGATCACAATTTAAGACTGTAACCAGACAATTAAACCTTGGGAGAGGAGGACAGAAGTGTTGGAAAGGGGTCTGCAGGGGAGGTCTGTGGTTTTGGTAACATTCTATTCTTCAGCTGGGTGCTGAGTCCAGGTGGGTTTATTTTGTGTGTGTGTTTTAAAAAATTTTTTACCGAAGGTTCCTTATAAAACTAAAAATAGAGCTACCATATGATCCAGCAATCTCACTCCTGGGCATGTATCTGCAGAAAAACATGGTTTGAAAGGATACATTCACCCCAATGTTCACTGCAGCACTATTTACAATAGCCAGGACATGGAAGCAACCTAAATGTCCATTGACAGAGGAATGGATAAAGAAGATGTGGTACATACATACAATGGAATATTACTCAGCCATAAAAAAGAATGAAATAATGCCATTTGCAGCAACATGGATGGACTTGGAGACTATCATACTAAGTGAAGTAAATCAGAGAAAGACAAATATCATATGATATCCATTATATGTGGAATCTAAAAAAAAAGATACAAATGAACTTATTTACAAAGCAAAAACAGACTCACAGACTTAGAGAGTGAACTTATGGTTACGAGGGGAGAAGGCCTGGGGTGGGGGGGTTAGACTGGGAGTTTGGGGTTGACATGTACACACTGATATATTTAAAATAGATAATCAACAAGGACTTACTGTGAAAAAATAAATAAAATAAATAAAAAAATTTAATCTCTTTTAGGTCTTTAACTTTATTACAAAATGTTAGAAAATTGTTTTTCATATCACAGCTCCTCCCTTTTTTTTGCGGTACACGGGCCTCTCACTGATACTGCTGGTCCAGGGACCACACTTTGAATAATGACTGTTGTAGAGATTCGGTTACTTTCTTTTCCAGCTGCTACTGACTACACATTGTAGGGTAGCTACCCACCCACATACTCTTCTGGGGGAACCACAATCCTTGTTGTCCCAAAGGACCAGGTGCTGACCTGAAAGGTCATCCATCAGTAAGCTAGCCACTGACCTTTGACTTGTGTGACCTCACTCAAAATGGTGAGCTGGACCAATCCGTCAGGAATTTGAATGAGGTGACATGGAGGACGGTTGACCAGCAGAGATGGGGCTGGTGTGACCATCACAGGCCTTGGTTGGCTGAAGCCCAGAAAGCTACCGGTTGAGGAAAAAGTAGACATTCACCCAGAAGCAGAGGCCCGACTGCCTACCTTTTGTTAAGCTTTTCCCCCTTCTCGCTGCTTGCTCCCTGCCCCCTGAGCCCATCCCCTCTGCCAGAAAGAATTGGCCCTTGGGCTTGAATTTCAGTGAAGCCATGAACAGAAAATGCACCATGAAATTACACGGCTCCTGCAAAAGGGGTGGCCATCTGCTTTTTCTTTAGGCCTTTCCCTACAGTCTGGTGTTATCTCCCCTTCCTGGTGATACTGTACATATTTAAGAAAAAGGAAGCCTTTATTAAAAAAAAAAACAGAATGCAGGATATTCGGCACTAGTAAATTCCCCAAGGCATTTGTGGACACTCCACCATTTTCTAAATATTCGTACTAGTAATTTGTTAACTGAATTGTTTCTAGTTTCTCCCATCCCAATTTTGGAATGGGAATATTGTCTTTTGCTGCATTTCTATAAGTTGCTCTATATGTGTAAAGATTTATACACAATGATTTGCTTCAAATTCTACACGATTCTACGGTAGCTTTTTCTCACCTTAATCTTCTTTCCCACGTTTCTGAGCCTTGGGGAAAATGTGATTTCCTCTTTTCTGGTGAATAATACAAAAAAAATCAATTAATAGCAGGTGAGATAATAGGCAAAAACCAAACAAATTAAAAAAAAAAACCCTTCAGTCTAAAATAAAGCCTATTTGAAACCTCACAGGTTTTACTTTAGACTCTAAGGGAGCCCAGCTGTGGTTAAGCACAGCAGAAACAAGAAGACATTTTGGTTCCATTTCTGAAGATGAACTTTGAAGATGTACTCTGAAAACGCCATGTTATGTCTAAACAAAAGGAAGCTGATGTTACAAGGCGCATTTTCATCCTGTCCTTTTTATTGTTTCCAGACACTGGCGCTGTCCCCTTGTACAGCGTGTCCTGTTTTCCCAAGAGAGGCCGGGACGTTCTCTCTAAACTTTCCTGGGTAAGCTGAAACGTGAGACAGTCCAGGAGTGGACACCTGATATCTCTCAAATTATCAGCTTGGTGTTTTGACCTGGCAGGGCTCTCTCTGTGTGTTCTACACATCATTCCCTTATTCCCTCATTCTTTTTTAAAAAATTTTTTATTGAAGTATAGTTGATTTACAATGTTGTGTTAGTTTCTGCTGTACAGCAAAGTGAATCAGTTATATATATATATATATATATCTCCACTCTTTTTAAGATTTTTCCCCATATAGGTCATTACAGAGTATTGAGAAGAGTTCTCTGTGCTGTACAGTAGGTCCTTATTAGTTATCTACTTTATATATAGTAGTGCGTATATGTCACTCCTAGTCTCCCAATTTATCCCTCTCCCCACCTCCCCCTTGGTAACCATAAGTTTGATTTCCCCAGTGAGATGTAAAACTCTCTCTTCTACTGACACACACGGCACATTTTGATGGAAACACAGCAGTGGGCAGAAGTGGTCAGGGAGGGGCTGGCAGGGGCGGGAAGCTGCAACCCACTGCCAGAATGGGCCGGGCTTGCATGGGGAGGGTAGAGCCTTCTGCAGAGACCAGTCTGGAAAGACCTAGACTGTGCATCACACAAGCAGCCCAAATGAAGAGGAAAAGAATACTTTACCTCCACACTTTTACAGGTTTGGAACAGAAAGAGGATCAGCCTGCAATCAGGACCCACGTTTGCTGAAAATTTAGGGTCATGAAGCAAAGAACAGGCATCCTTGCATAGCTGGTACAAAAAGGGACACAGAAAAAATATAGAACCAGATTTTAGTTTCTTAGACACACTGGCAAAGGGTTATCACTCATTTGGTATTCAGAAGGAAAAAAGGATGCCTGTAAAAACTCTGGGGATATCTGGTTATCACTTATCTATCTATCTATAAACTTTATTTCTTAGAACGGATGTATAGAAAAATTACAAATGTAGTATAGAGCATTCCCATTTACCTGATATCTAGTTTGCCCTATTTTTTGGAATTAATGATACATTATTATTGATACATTATTATTAATTAAAGGCCATTATTATTATTAACTATTATTAGTACCTAAAGACCATACTTTATTCAGATTTCCTAGGTTTTTACCTGATGTCCTTATTTTCTATCCCAGGATCCACATTACGTTTGTTACACGTTACATTACATTTCATCATCATGTCTCCTTGGGCCCCTATTTTATACAAATTCATTAAACAATTAACACATGCTAGGGAGGTCTGATGGAAGGATATCGGCACACACATTGCCCCAAATCCCTGCATCACCTTCATCAAGTCCTGAAGTTACAAAAAGTCCCTTTGGGAGGGTTGTGATTTTTGGACTGGGTGACCCTCAGCTGCTCACTTGACTTCTCTGAGATTTTGCAAGAGTCGAGTTTTATGGGGGTGGCTTTGCGTCAGTGCCTGAGCCCAAAATGTGTGATGTGAATGGCGGGGAGTGTTGTCCCCGTGTCTGTTCCCAAGGACAGCAGGGAGTCACACGGCATGTTCACCACATCAAACTCCCGTTGCCCAAATAACAAGCAGCCTAAGTGTGCGTTTGGCGAGGGCTGGGCCAGGGCGGAGAATGATTCCTTAAGAGCTGTGCCAGATTCTTGCTAACGGGGAGGATGGCCTGTTTTAGCCGCCAGCCCCAGGGGGGCAAGGTCTTCTCTCTGCTTTGATGTTTATGGCAGGTCTTTAGTGTAAGCTGGGGACCAAGGTAGGAACCAGGGCCACCAGCTATATCACCCACATGACCTCCAACAATTTATTAAATATCTCTGAGCCAGACTGATCATTTCCATCCCTCCCAGAAGTGGGAGAGAGAACTGAGAAACTAAGTCCTGGGGCAAGTTCTTTCCACGTGCGTGCAGCAGGTGTGCATTAAGCACCTACTGTATACTGGGCACGATGCTAGGTGCTGAGAACATGGGGGCGAAGAAGATGCATTTCTTGCCCTCATGGGATCCCCCAAGTTCTGATGCCACGTGAGGATTTCAGTCTGAGCATCTTGGACAGTAGTATTTCCACATCATTACTCCATATATTTAAGGAAAATTGTAAATTTGGTTTGCATAGGATATTGAGCATTGAGTTATTTTATTCTAAAAATGCTGCCAGAATGATTAACTGAAAAATCCCCTAAAAATCTGAATGGACAACAACTGTGGTTTGGATAAATGTTTACCAGACCCCTGAGAAATGAATTGTGGGCTTCTCACCGCCGTGGCCTCTCCCGTTGCGGAGCACAGGCTCCGGACGCGCAGGTTCAGCGGCCATGGCTCACCGGCCCAGCCGCTCCGCGGCATGTGGGATCCTCCTGGACCGGGGCACGAACCCGTGTCCCCTGCATCGGCAGGCGGACTCTCAACCACTGCGCCACTGGGGAAGCCCTGAGAAATGAACTTTTATTGACTTGCTTCTCCTGGCAGAAACCTGCTAACAAAAAATCAAAATATTCCTAATGGTCATATACTGTCTTTGATTTAAAGCCTCTTTCATCTTTAGGAAGGTGGAGGTCACGAGCCTCCCTTTCTGCCAAACCAGGAAACCAGGAAGCCTGGGGCAGGAGCCTCTGGAATCACAGCCTTTGGTTGACCCCAGGGCAAATTACTTAAAGAGTCTCGAAGATTCCATTTCTTCATTTTTAAAATGTGTACAAGGCTTGCTTTGCCTTCATGTGTCAGCTGCTGTGTAAAATCAATGAACCGATGCCTATAAATATCTTGGCCCAGGCTTGGCACACAGTAGGTGCTCAAGAAACTGGGCGCTCCACTGCTTAGCCCTGGCTTCCCCCTTTGTGAAAGTGGAAATACTGCCACCTACCTCGTAGGTGTTGTGAGCAGGCAAATGACTTGAAATAAGGTCTCTGCTGGGCTGAATCCCGGGCTCTGCCCGAGAGGGACATTTGTGGATGACGGCAGGTCTCAGAAGGAGGCTGGACACGTCATCAAATACCCCTCCAGTGACCAGCTGAAGGACGTGCGTTTACCTGCCCTGGAGAGGCGGTAGGTTCTCTGCGGATGTATCCAATGAGCCGACAAAACTCCGTAGAAGGCAAAGAGTCTGTGTCAAGTCCTGCAGTGGCCGGAGGAAAGGGACAGGGGGTTAACCGGTGCCCATCAAGAAAGATCTTCTCTTCTCTTCCTCCCCTGCTCCAAGCTTGGAGGACAGGATAGCTTCGCAGAGGAAGGAATTAAGAGAATAGAGAAAACCCCAGCATGCCCTCCTTCTGCCGTTACAGCCTGTAATTTGGCTGTAAAGCCCCCTACCCCCTGACCCATCTGCAGACCGACAAGCCAGGGGAATAGCGGACCCTAGTGATAACATACATAAAGTGCCCAGTCCAGAGCCCGGACCGAGTAAGGACCGAGCAAAACAGTTTTCATTTCACCTTGACCTTTCTCCTCATTCTTCTAAGAGCCATAGCAGTTTCCAAGGGAAACATTCAAAAGAGGAAAGAGATGCTATTGCCCTGTTGGACCCCATTGACTGGGTGGACGCCATCAGTTTAGCAACAGCTCTGTAATCATCATCTCACGGGTCCCTCCTTCCTTGCCGTGCTGTCTGGTCCATAGTAAATAAATATTTGCTGAAGTTAATTATTTATTTTTATTTCGGCTGCGCCGGGTCTTAGTTGCAGGATCTCTGTTGCGGCATGCGACATTGGGAGGGCAGAGTCTTGACCGCTGGACCACCAGGGAAGTCCCTTTGCTGAATGTTACTGATGCAGGTTCTGGAGGCGGCTCACAAGCTAAAATCTACATGAAGGTTTTTTTCTGCTCACCAGTGTTATATTACTGGGGACTGAACTCTTGGTAGGTATTGCCGAATTGTCTCCCAGAGACTGTATCAATTTACATCCTTTGTGGCGTTGAATGATACCGTTAAAAAGAGTAGTCTCTCTAGCAGGTGAAACACGGTCTATTACTGTCTTCTTTTGCAGTTCTTTGTTACTAGGAAGGATGAATACTTTCGTTCCCATCAAGAATAAGTAAACAAATTTGGGTGAGGCTATATAGCTCAGATCTTAGCAGGATGTAAGCTTAAGGCCGTCAGTTACAAGGATTGACAGTAGACTCTGGGTGAGACACCACCTCCTTTATAGTGACCGAAGTATTTGGAATGACATTGCAAATCAGATGCTGATTTTTCTAAGCAGAGCGCACTTTCCCATCCTTCCTTGACTTTGGCGAATGACCAGTGATGGAGCTGGAACCTTACAGAACTCAGCTTCCTCCCGTCTTTGCCCACCTCCCACTTCCTGGCCACACCACCCCGTTTTAGATGTTAATCTATCCGGTCTTACAGATGCTAAGGTCGCTCGCCTTCCATGCACACATCTGGTGAGATGAGTGTTTCCCTGGCTGGCTTGCATATTACCAGCATCTGTCAACCCTATTTAGTCTTTAATTGCTCTTGGGGCATCTGCAGGAAAAGCCTGCCTTGGGATCTACACACTCATATGAAAACATTGCAAAGCACTCCCGGGCTGAGTGCATTTGGAAAGAGTGGTTCAAGTTGATTTTTTATTATTTATTGCTGAGCCGCTGAGTCATCATAAAATCAGCGTCCAGCTGAGGCTCCCTTTGGTCCTGTTCAGCCAGCTGTCCCCCTGGTGGAGCGGGTGGTGCCGAGGCATCTGAAGAAATCAGAAAAAAAAAAAAAAAAAAAAAAAAGGGAGGCCACCAAGTCCCCTGAGGCCATTGATTCATTTTAGGATGGAAACACCTGTCTTGTTTTATATTAGCTGCCTTGTGACAGTTGCACCTAAAAACAAAAGCGGCATTTGCAGCACCTCCAGGTGCAAAGGCACTGAAAGGATCTGAATACAACACCAGAGACAGAACAGCTATGAATCACTGAAGATTGACTTTGATGCCCTGCAGGTGGAAAATAGGGATTCTTCCCAGATACGGGTGGGGTGTGGGCACCAGTCTTTAACTGCCCCCCTACCCACCAAATAAATGATCCAGACAGACAGGCACCATGGAATCTCTACATTGGCAGACGGCACAGAGTTCCCCAGAAAGCGCCTGGCCAGGCAGATGGGGATACACTGCAGGGAAAGCTTTGGAGTCTGCGTTAATGGGCAGGAACGTGGTGGATGGGTTTCAGTGAGGTGAAGTATCTGGTAATGAATCCACTCAGGGCAGGCATAATGGGCTCTGCGTATTGGTGATAGCCGTAGAAAGAGGTCTGGCCGTATCGGGCTGGGGTTTTAGGGATGATCTGCTCTATGCTGTTAGGACTATCATGAAAATATTGGCCAGCACCAAAATGAGCGCTGGTGACAAGGTGGAGAATCTTATTCTCCACCTTGTGCTAAGATCTGCAACGCCACAGGCAGCTTGATTTGCCCCATATCCACGAAGACCCCGTTTTTCAGTGATGTTAATAACCCTTCCTTTGAATCACCAAGCAGTGACTCCACGTCTGTGCCTCTGACCGTTTCTGGATTCCATCGTATCCAAACTTCCTCAATCAGCACGGGGTAGAAGACAGGGCCTCCGCTTGGGCACAGAGCTGGGCTTCTCCCCTCTTTGCTTCCAAGGATTGTCTGGGTCTTGGCTAGAGGGTCTCCAGTACCAGCTCCTTCCTGCCCCGTGCCTTTGGGAGCAATACTGTAGCAGGAGAAAACAAACTCAACAGCAAAATGATGTCTCAGTGGACATTTCAACCACTGCCTCTTCTCCCCTTCCTATTGGGACCACAAATTTTAAAGCCATGTGACTTCGGGTGAGATTGATCCCACCCTCAGCACTAAGGTGGATCCTAATTGGCTGAATACAATGCCCTCATCCCGTTTCCCTGGACACTGTATTTGGTTCATTGATGAGCATTTAATTTTAGGCCAAGAAACTGAGAGGAGACATTAGCTAGGGGCATCTGGGAAAGAAATTTCTTTTTTTTTTTTTCCCAAAGGAGTTGCAAGCCACTGTTCTGCTAACAAGAGGGGAGCCAGCCTCTGAGGGAAGCTGACGTGGTAAAAGGCAAAGAGGAGAGAGAGAAACAGAAACTGGGATCTAGGTGACATCCCCAAGCTGCTGGATCAAGCCATACCTGAAGTCCACATACCTCTAGACTTTTAGTTTTTATGTTGAAGCATGTGAAATGGCCAGTACTTATAATTATCCTAAGGCACACAGCAGCAAACACATCCCAAGGGATTCTTTGAGACGAGACTACCAAATTTTGTGTGCGTATCAGCTGTTCACTTTGACCTTTCCACCAGCTGCAAGCTGGGTTCCCCAACCTTAGCTTAGTCACCCTTTAGTTCATCCTACACACTCCCTTCATATTAATTTTGCTTCAACACTGCAGTTTCCACACTTGTGCTTCACAGCCAACAATGGTGCTTTAGGGCTTTCCGCGTGAAGGATAAACACAGTTGCCTGGCCTTACTCCAATAAGCTTTTCTAACCTTATTCTCCATGACTCCCAGATAGAAGAACCCTCCATTCCACTCAAACTAGGCTTCATTCTGACCATAGGCTGTGCCACCTCCACCATGAGCCTATAATTAATTTTCTTTCTGCTTACACCTCTGTCAGCGTGTCTATCTCTCTCTTTCATTGCCCCTCCTGGTATACTTAAGGCTATGTTGGGGCAACTTATAGTTAACGAGTTCTTTAACCAGATCTCTCTCTCCAATGAATTCCTATCACTCTTGAAATCTATGCCACGCAATCTTTAATTAATTACATATTAATGGCTTCACGCCTACAAACACAACCTCCTAAGGTTACATGGACCATATATTATATGTTTCATAAACTTCCTAACCAGCACGGTTTGGTGCACACAGCAGAAACAAAGGCATAAATGTTAAATAACTGACATTTTCCAGACTTAAACATTTAGGCCATTCAGCTTAGCACTGGGTACAAATGAGCCCAGAAGCCAAACGATGAGGGTTTATCCAAGCTGATGTTCTGAACTTGAGACCTTCTGCCTGTTCCCTAGGAAAGTTTCATCCAGCAAGATCATTTTTCCGACATCAACTCTAAAGATTTTTTTTTTTTTGATGTGGACCATTTTCAAAGTCTTTATTGAATTTGTTATAATACTGCTTCTGTTTTTTTCATATTTTGGTTTTTTTTGGCTGTGAGTCCTGTGGGAGCTTAGCTCCCCAACCAGGGAGCGAACCTGCATTCCCTGCACTGGAAGGCGAAGGCCTAACCACTGGACTGCCAGGGAAGGCCCTGACAACAATTCTAACACACTTTCCCATGTTCAGGCAAACCTGTGGGTTTCAGCCCAGACAATGAGAGGGAAACATTGATACTTTAACCCCAACGCAGCTTAAGAACCCTTGGAGGGTTCCGACGGACAGAGCTGAACCAAGGCTTCTTGCAGCCTGGCTTCTGGTTCTCAAGCCCTCGGTGGAGAGACAACTTCCTTTGAATCCCATAAGGCATTGTGGACACTGAACAGACTTGCAAACCCAATCGAATGAGCTAAGCGTCCACGGACCCAGAAACACCAAACCTATGTTTTTCTTAAAATAAACAAGCATAAAGCATTTAAACAAGAAGGTTCTCAGGGGCAAACCCTGGTTGGATTTTAGCAGACGTGAAAACACTTGAAACATAGTCAAAAGACTTTTTGCTAATCCCAAGACATTTGCAAAATGGTTCTACCTTTTTGTGGCCTCCTGGCTCTTCCAGACCCCCGTGGATGCACCTGTCTACCCGCAGACAAACCCTCCAGATGCTCAACACAAGTAAACTCATCAAGGAACCATGGGAGTGGGCAGTGGATGGCACAGATGGGTACTGGGGGGGGGCTATTCATCATAAATGTCCTTGTTTATCCTTTTCCGCCATCAGGGATGACTGAGAGCAGATACTTTTCTGTCTTACACTTTGAATTCTCAAAAGAAAGAAGAGTAATACGTGCATCGGTAGGCTGCTTCAGTGTTCCATAAACCTTGAGCTGCCAGGAGGTTTGCTTCTATCATGGAATCTCTTCAAATCCCATGGGCTCTTATTCTTTATCATAATTCTTTGAATATCTGAAACCCGTGATGTTTAAGTGAGTCTTCTCGTTTGGGGGTTAAGTCATCATATTTGTTTTTC